CGCTTTTGTGGAGAGGCCGCTACCGCCTGTCGCCGAGTTTTGGCCTCGCCTCTGCCCTCGGGACTCGGGGAAGGTGGGCGGGATTCGGGCCCGGTGCCTAGGCCGCGGCGCGGTTCTCTGTGGCGTGCGGTGAGGTGAGGTGCAAGTGAGCCCGTCGCTGGACGCTGGGGTTTTGTAACTGCTGGGCGGTGAATCGGTGCTGGCGTTCGGTTGGTGTACTGGTAAAACGTTGCATAGGGACAAAAATCGTGCAAAAGTAAATTTATTAAAATTTCTTATTGTCTCCTTCATGGTACTTGGACGAAACGAGGATGCGTGTGTGCTGAGCAAGGTTCAACCTGACTGTGGGCTGCAGCTTTTATATACCTTTTCTTTCTGCCGATTATGATTTGGGTTGGGGCAGGTTTGCTGGTAGCACCCAGAAATGGCCCGGGTCACTGTGTAGGTTCTCGTTGCTTGCATGGTGTGTGCTTCCCCTCAGTCCCAAGCGGCATGGACACCCTGCGCATGGGGTTTCTTTTCCACGAATTTGCCTCCTAACTTGCTGAGTGTGTGATAGAGAAAACGTGACTTCCTTCAGTGCGGTTTTAGTCCGCGGTGCATAACTTAACTGGAGTATGAAAATAATAGCAGTCCATTTTGCCATGAGTGAAGGAAGGTATGTGGCATGTAGAGAAGAGACTGGGGCTCGCTACATGTCTTTTTGCGGCGTTGGCTAATGTATGACATGTTGCTGACTGCTTAGATGTATTGTGTTTGGATGATGGGCCAGAATAAGATACGCAGTAGCAAATGCTATTGCTACAGCCGTTTAAAGATGTGGACTAGTTTTCTGATAAGGTGTTTAGCTGTGTAAAGCAAGCTTCTGCATGTCAGCTCATATTGCAAGAGAAAGAGGGAAAGAAGGCATTTAAAACATGGAAAACATGAAAAAGGAAAGGTCTATCCCACTGATGCTCCATGGGAGTTCGTAATTGAGAATTTTGTGGGGCTTCCAAGCTCAGAACATTTTGTGTGAGAAAGGGGCAGGGGAAAGACTAGTTTCACATTTAAAAATTCTTAGAGGGATCGAATAAGCTAAATGGGTCCAGTATGGCACTTCTGTAATTTGTTTTGGCTGACTCCATTCTTAAAAGCTCAGAAAAGATTAACTGATTTGACATCATTATAGGATTTATTCTGTGGGGGAAAAAAACAAAAACAAAACCAGGCAACTAGTATGTCTAATTTTATGACTCAGAGATAATAGTCTCTGTACAGAGCATTGAACCTTAAGGCTGTCCCTTATGAACTAGATGTTAATAGTGATGTGGCATAGCTGTTCCTACCAGCAGCAATGCAGAGACATGCAAAAAGAGAAGATTTTCAGATTTTTTCCAAAGCTTTATAGAAAACCCTATTGAAGTACAGTCTTTCATGTTACATTCTTTGGTCTTTGCAAACCTCTCTGTTGTAATCCTAAGCCAGATACGTTGAGGGGGCAAGGAGCTGGATGGCTTATGGAAGAAGCATGTAGGACGGCTGCTCTAGGACTTCGTATCTGAAAAGTCTTGTCATCTGTGACTGTCAGATGAGACTGTCATTCTGGTCCATGTGGCAGCAGGGTCTACTTGCTGTGAATTTGTGATTTTTCAGTTTGTGATCAGGGGAATAACACTTTATAGTTACACAGATGCCAACTTTTAGAAATCTTCTTGAGGTTGTTTTTGCTGGTGTTATTCATAAAACCTAAACTCACAGTGAAAGGGGTGAACAGGAATTGCTTTTTTCTATTTTCAGTTTTATTTGAAGTATTTTACTTAGTTTTTCCTTATTTGCATGGGTATTTCATGTTGGGGTGGGGAACACATAGGGTAGAAATCACCAGTAAATGAGAAGTCTGAGGAAGTGTAATACTTGATATTATTTTTTATTCCCTTTTACAATGGCTTAGATTTCTAATTAATATATGTTTTAAAAATTAAACAGTTTTACAAGCAGCCTATATGTAATTTTTTTTTAATCTTTTCTCTTTTTCATTGAAGGTGGAGATAAACTACAGTAACTAAAGTAAGATAGCTCTGGCTACTAATTTTGTCGTTAAATTAATTTCAAACCTGTTAATTGTCTTACTGGAAGTGGATTCTTCGAGTCTACCGATATGGCTCTGACTGTTACACTGCTGAATGGTGCCTATTTACGTGGTAGATGCGGCAGGCACAAAGTTTTGCACCCGTTACTTGGACCTCTTCTCAGCGATTTCATGTCAAAATTGTATAGCAGCTACAGGAGGCCAGGGTCACAGCCTGAGAAAAAAAAGTCTTGGCAAAATATTGATTTCAGTTTTAAGAAGGTCATTGATGTGTTAAAGACTCAGCTAAGCATGCTGAGTAAGGAGACCAAAGATTACTTAATAGGACCTGGAGGCTTTCCAATCGATCGATACCTGTTGGAACAGACAAGGGTGTTGTGGGAGTTCCGGAGCCAAGAAGATTTAAATAAATGGGTTATTTCCTCTGATGTAGAGATTGGAGGCAAAAGTGAAGTTTACCTCAAATTGGGTAGGAATAACCAGGCTGCTCTGCTGTATGGAACCCTCAATACGGAAGTACCTCGTGATGGGGAGACCAAATACAGTGGATATTGTAGTATGAGAGCCAAACCACCCATGGTAAGTACAGCTTCACTTTTGCATAGCTTCTCTCATGTAGTCGGAGAGCGTTTTTGTGTAATCCCAGTGACAGCAAGTGGACTGTTGTTTACTGTGGTTGAAACTGTTCATGTCCAGGAGATATTCCTTCAGGGTTGTAATTGCTGCTGTATCCTTGGACCTGGAAGGAACTTAGACTTTCTCTTGGATTTTGTTTTCCTTTCTTAGAAAAGGAATAGTATGTGTTTGATCATTTACTTATGTACAATAGGACATCCACTCATTAAGACAGCCCTGTTTGCAGCCTTCTTGCAAAGGAAGGATCTGTAATGAAACTTTATATCCAAAATTGGTGTGATTAAAATAGGTGTGTGTCTAAATTTGAAGTTAATGGAATGTGTTATAAGGGTAAATTTTCTGGGCTTTAACTTGGCCTATTCATCAAACTTGGTTTAGGTGAATGAGCTCATCTTTTCTCTTACAGGAACAGAAAATAATACTTTGAAATGTACTTTTGAAAGGTCTGACTTGTACTGTATATCAGAAAAAGCAAGACAGAAATCTTTGATAGCTCAGAATTGAGCAAAACAGAACCGTAAATGGATGTGCTTAATATTGATACTGCTTGTTTCATTCTGAATTTTTAAGCACCTTTAAAAGCAAAGGAGCATTTTGACTCTGTGTATAAAATGATTAACTTTTTAGTCTGTTCTGTTGTTTGTGACTTGGCGCAAGTACACGGGTAAAATCTTTTCAGGGCCAGAAACTTGGAGAGCAGAGAATATGAGCAAGCAAAATCAATGGGCAAATGAGAGGCAGATCAACACTGATTAAAATGGTGATGCTGGGTCAGGGGAATGGAACAGTAGGTTGAATCTCACCTAAGTTAAATTCCCAGGCCTGCTACTGACTTGTGCAAATGTGACTCAAACTTTCAGCTTCTCATTCTGAAATAGTGGTGTGTTTCAGTCTATCTTTATAAAGCAGTTTGAAGTCAGAGGGTGAAAACGTAAATACAAGGGCTTTATTTAAGTAAAAAGGCTCAAAACTGGCAAAACCATAAAATCAAGTAGCCACAGACCTTGTATTAATGTATTGATGATCTACTCATCCTGTTACCTGTAAGATGAGTTGGTAGAAGGTAACCGTAATAGTGCTGTAAAATAAAGGGGTAACTTCTGACTTGGTGCTAATTTTGACTTGGTTGAAGCAATTCTGGCCAAGGATAGCCCTGACCCTGCCCCTCCTCGCTCCAAGTGACCTCTGTGTAAGTCTCTGAAGACTCGAGTCTGCCTATGTGCAAATTGCAATACTGTGAATTTTAAGACCTTTGGAAAAAAATGCGGTTGAGAACTAGGCACACTTGTAATCAATGTCATTATGCCCAGTTAATGACAAAAAGTATTGGGAAGCATTAAATGCTTCTACTGCTTAACTCAGTCTTCAATAAAGGAAGTTAACACAGGGGATAAATTATCCCACTTCTTCAGTTTCTTCTAATCACCTCTGAATAATCTAGTGCTGTCCACGGAATATTAAACTTACTGAACTACATAACTACTGATGCATCTCTATAGGGTTTGTGTACTTGCCTGGTAGGGAATTTGGTCCTAGGAAGGAGGCCTGATTTCCGATAGTTAGAGGGTTGTGCTTTATAATTAAAGCATGAGTCCTCAAGAGTGGTGGTACTGCATTTTGTGTGCTCTAATACAGCGCTGAAGGAAATTCAGTGAGATCAACAGCTAGTACGATGAAAGACTAACCCAGTTTTCACTGTCTCACAGTAGATATTACTTGACATAATAATGAGGGCAGTTATCAAAGCAGTAGTGCTCTGTTCTTCATAATGGAAGTTTCCCTTTATTAAGGAGGAATAATTCTATTTATTAATAATTCGTAGGGATCCTTTGCTAGGAAGAAGTATTATGACTGGTCAAACTTCAACAGTCTATATTTACGTGTCCGTGGCGATGGCAGACCTTGGATGGTAAACATTTACACAGACCCTTACTTCTCTCATCAAAAGGATGACCTCTACAACTACTTCATGTTCACCCGAGGAGGCCCATACTGGGAGGAAATAAAGGTGAACTAATGAGTCTTTCAGACTAATGAGGCTGTATCGGGGTCCTGGCCTCTGTGGAAGGGGAATTCTTTCATCTGTTTGTTGCTATTGCTGTCCATTCAACAATGTTTCTGTTGTGTATCCTCATGTAGACATGTGCCTTTGGCTTGGGAGTTCCCAAAATTGTAAATCACTGGATTGTGGGAGGGCACACTGTGCCAATTGTGTTAAAGATTTGATCCACTATACGTTCACCTAAACATCTGCTGTTAGCTATTACCACGGTAATAGAATAGATTCAGCGATTAAAGCTTAGCAGGTGTTGCCAGGAATATGCTCTGTGATAACCATTTTATCTGTAATACAAATGGAGGTAGGCTGGCGTAGGGTTTGTACCCTGTGACAGGATTTGCTTAACCCGCTGACTCGCTGGAGTCGGTCAGAGACTCAAAGGGGTGCTTTGTCATTTATGGCCTTTGAATCTGACACAAAATAATATTTGTAAGAAGTGGGAGTTTTGGCTCTTTTTGGTGAAACATGAGGAACTTTTGTAATTTGCTGATGACAACGGTAAGGGTGTTTGCACATCCTTATGAATTGGCATTCAGTGCTTCCTAATTACCGTTGTCCAATCATAGAAGAACAGCCCGCTGTTTCACAGATGAGGAGTCAGGAGGATGAAAATCAGTGTGGCATTGGTGGCTTGCATGTTTTCCTCTCACCCACACCAGCCAACCTTCCTGTTTCCTATCTCTTATCACAGCCCCTCTTCTTTCTTGCTCCCACTGCGTTCAGAGTAATTTTCACATTATTCTGAACTGCTTTGCTAGAATATTGATGTCTCGGTATGTAAGTTTGCACTATGAAATACACAACTTGGATATACATGGCATGCTTCATTCATCTCTATTTTATGTTGCCATGTTACTGGAAGGAGATATTCTTGATGTAAACAGACACCTTCTTGTGCTGCAGCCTCTCGTGTCCTAACAGGGTAACAAACCTGCACAAGAGCTACAAATGGCTGCCACAGAACAGTGTGGGGCTGGAGCTGGCAGCCAGTGGTTAATGAAAGAGTTAATGTGGCCCATTTCTCTGTGCCAGTTGTATGTACCCAACTAGTGCTGGTAGCAGAGTGTTATTTCATTTACTAAGGCAGGCTTTTTTTTTTTCCCCCTTAAGTTTTTATTTTATGTACTAGTGACACTAAAGTCTGTTTTTGTTTTGTTTCTGTCAGATTCCATTCTCCAAATTCTTTCTCTCCAGTCGGGGAAGAGTCCAGGATGACCAGCATCCTATCTGGTTAGACAAGGCAAGTTTTCTATAGGCTTTATCTGTCTGAAATTTCCTTTAAGATTCTATTGTTATGATATAGACAATTTACAAATCCCTTAATGTTTGTGAATTTGAAACTGAAGGGCCTCTTCTTGTTATAATGCAGTTACTCTTGTGTGCTTGCCTTTGCATTTAAATTATCCTACTTTGTGACAGCAGTGTCAGTTTACTTCAAAGGAGCTCCAGAAATATTTTTAAGAGATCTAGATAACCAAGAAACAACTCATAACTCACTTGGCTTTAAAAAAAAAAAAAAAAAAAATTTTTTTTTGAGGAATGATCAGAGTGACTAAAATCTAAAGTGCCAGTTGGCACAGTACTGCCAAAAATATAATAGTATGTATCATAAACTTCCTTCCTAACAGAATACTGTAAGGGATATCATATAATGAGATTTTATTTGCAGATATACTGTATTAGTGGCCTGGATGGCGAGCAGTAAACTGATGTATTTATAGGCTCTTTTAAGTTTTATTTTTCAGGCTTTCTAGACTAAGTATTAAGTAAATGTGTCAAGTATTTTTTGTTTTATTTGTACAAATAGGTAGACTGAGTCACAGCAGGAGACATGTTGGAAAAAAAATGTTTCTGTATCTGAAAATTTGGGCTTTTTTCTCTTAAATTTCAGTGATGCTCCGGTATGTAATTGAGGGCTGCTTCATATCCAGTGACTACCAAAAGGAAAATAAACAACGTTAGAAATATATATGGGGAGAAACTAAAAGACCCATTACTTGAATCAGTGATAGTCACCTGGAATGTTGCATTTGTTCCTAATTGCCTTAATGGGGAAAAAAATAGGAAAAATTTGAGGACAATTCAGTGATTGGCAAAATGAAAATAATCTGTTTTAAAACAGAAGTAGTTGAGGCTATAGAAAGCAAGTATGAATGATATGAAGGTGAATCAGCTACAAGGAAAAAATATGCTTTATGGAAAAAAGTTGTTATAAAAAGCCTATGTTTAAATACAGACACTGAAGAATTTATCAGGATTTTGAATAGACAGTCATTCAAAATGGTAAATGAAAACCTAAAGTTGTATACGAGGTGTTTAATAATATATATTATATTATTTATATAT